CTGAAGCTACTCGTTTTTGAGTTATGTAAGATACATATGTACGTACAGATGTCACAAAAAAACTCTTCTGAATCCATTTTAAATCCATTTGTTCAATCCATTTTGAGAGAAAGAGTTCTTTATTTTGACCGTACGTACAGTTGTAATTCATAAACTTCGTTCAAATGGAATCGAGAGGGGTCAAAATGGATATTTTCGTTGAAATACGATACCCAAAATTTTTCGCGATTTCAATATTTCCTTTATTTCGTACAAGGCAGTAAAAATGAAAGATTGTCTTTCACTAGTAAGAAGTCACTGGTATGAAAAGGAAAAGTAAAGAAATTTATCGTTTGTCTACTGGAGGTTAAAGCAAAACAGAATTCAATTAAATAGTTTTTTAATTTTGAAAAATTAGAAGCTGAAACTCTCTGAAGCTGAGTGTAAGTGTTAACAATAGAAATGTACTGTTTGTCGTCCATTTGTTTTAGAGAGGAGATTAAATAGAACATCCGAATTTATGATCGAAAAATATCCTTAACTGTAATTTTCATTTTTGAAAAAAACAGGAAAAAAATTTACCTTCCTAATAAAGTACTGGGTTTAGCGCAGAAAATATCTTCAAAATTGTAATACTTATAATTATTTACAATTACAATCACTTAATAATTTGTATAATCAGCTTTAGACATTGTTTTCATTATTTTTAAAATATATAATATTAAAGAAAAAATTTCTGCTAAAAACACTCATACATTTACCACTTTTTTTAAATAATTAACAAAGGTGATAAACTATGAGCTTTCACTTAGTACAAGATTTTTATACTTAATTCATTCCGATTTGCTTATCATATTCTGACAAGCAGTATTATTATTATTAAATTAAAAGTAGCATTTTCTGGTTACTATTAAAATTGCATATTCAATTAAATCGAAATTTTTTCCAAAGCATTTTATATCTATTTTAAAACACAGATTAAAATCAAATAGCGTTTGTTTGAATAAAACACAGATTAAAATCAAATAGCGTTTGTTTGAATAAAACACAGATTAAAATCAAATAGCGTTTGTTTGAATAAAACACAGATTAAAATCAAATAGCGTTTGTTTGAATAAAACACAGATTAAAATCAAATAGCGTTTGTTTGAATAAAACACAGATTAAAATCAAATAGCGTTTGTTTGAATAAAACACAGATTAAAATCAAATAGCGTTTGTTTGAATAAAACACAGATTAAAATCAAATAGCGTTTGTTTGAATAAAACACAGATTAAAATCAAATAGCGTTTGTTTGAATAAAACATATAGCTTTGCCATGCGAAAAGTTCAGAAACTCGTACGACTACTAAACAGAATTAAAACTGAACAAAATATCGAACATTGTTGTGTGGTAGTTAATTTTTCCGAGTAAGCAAAATTCGTGAAAAAATTTCCGAAAAATATCCTACAATGTGTGCAAAAATTAATTTAAACAATTTCTTTTGTGAATGAACATGGTTTCAATAAAGCAAACCCGAATTTCTTAATAACTATCAATTGCTTAAGCATGAAAAGATCCATTATTGTTAACTGAGAAAGGAACAGCAGATATTTTTATTGTGAATTTAAAAAAGAATTTAAAAAAAGAAATGTAGCAAACAAAATAACTTTGTGTTTCTTTATCAACTTGTTCAAAAAAAAATTATCAAGTACAAAATGTACATGCTAAACTGCTTTAAAAAAATCTATAAAATATTTAAAAAATTTTAAATCAGTTTTTTTTTTTTTTTTTTTTTTTTTTTTTTTTACAACATTCGAAATAATATTGATATCGATGATGACAAGATAATATTCTAGTAACTTCATCTAAATCAGAAGAATTGTTCCTGGAAAACGTACTATACTCGTTGGTAATGCAAATTTCATATTTCAAAGCAAGCATAGGAATGTTTATTTATTAGCCCAAAGGACAATATCCTCAGAAGGGTTATTAATTTCGTTCTGGCACTTTGCGTTGATTCACTATAAACGGCGAATCTCTTTTTAAATTGTTGCCAACAAATATTAGAGCCCTGTATTATATTTAAAGAAATTAAGTAATGAAGAGTCTGCATAAATGTATATATGTTTCTCGGACTGTGATAAAACAACGGTACCTAGATCCATGAAATTTTGAATAACGTACGTCTCCACCTGAATATGGATATCTGGAAGCCCAAATTTGGAATTTGTTTTATTACCTATTTCATATTTTGTAAAACTTTAACGAATTTTTGATTAACAAACACTACGATTTCAAAGTGAGTAATGGCAACACTGTACAGAAAATGAAAAAATTATCTCCAGGGCGCGAGACTGTGTATCGGAAATTCTAAAGATACGCTCTTTTAAATATTTTGTGATATTGCTGTTGAATTGAATTTTATGTTTAAGTGCGAAGAACATGATATTTAATAAATAAAGGTAACATACAAAACGTTAAAATAAAGTTCCTCTGTGCATAATATAAAATCTAAGAGGTTTCAGAATTTTTAATGTATTTTTCTGTATTTTACTTATTTTTTATTTTATTTTTTATATTATTTTTTTTATTTAAATTCTTCCTTTGGGTAAACATCAGAACGCCACTCAAAGATACTATAATGTTTTCGAAACAACTGAAAGAAAAATGGCAGGCTTGGAATAACAGAAATAAGTATTGCCTTAAGATTAAATATTTTTCCACATAAACAAAAAGTTAATTCAGTTTTATATTGCTATTCATTTTTTATGATCAAAAAACGAATTCGAAAAAACCGACTAAATTTTAGACATGTTATGATTTCAAAAACTATTTTAATATTTGTAAATCAATAGCACTAGAAATAATTTAGTGTATGCATTTAATTAATAACATCTAAATTATATCAATCATATAAAATTTAAAATTAAATAAACGTAAATTAATTTTGGATTTTTTTTCTGTCATCAGTTTTATTTCTGTGATAAGTACTTTAGATTGAGATAATCAGATATCAGCTTTTACTACTAGCACGTTATTAGTGTTTCTATTTAAATTAATATGTAATATATAAGGGTAATATTTTATTCAAATAAATAAAAATGGATATCAAATCAAAACTTAATAGTAAGAAATCATGTCTGATTATTTAAATATCCATTTGTAACAAATTAAAATTAAAATTAATTTTAGATAATATTATCAATAAATTTCTCGAAAATCCTTGACGAGTCTTAAGAATACCAGAGCAAGCAGCTTAATTAATATACTGTAAAATACTGAGAATTGCAGTAATTGCACTGTAAGAATTATGTTAATTTTATTAACAGTTAAATTTTAAGTTCCTTTCCTATCGATTCTTAACTTCAACTTACATTCCCGGCCAGAGCGTAGTTTTAGAATCACGTCTGAATACATAATAAGAGCGGTATTTAACCGCGAAGTTCTTCGAGCTTGGAGAAAGAGATATCAGGTATTCTGGCTGCACGCGTCCGCCTTTTTAGGCTATTTTCTCGTAAGCTATTATCACGCTCGGCCGTACTTTAGGCCCTTGATAGCTTCGCAGTCTATTAACGTTAAGTGGCCAACTGTTAGAATTTTGATAGCTTCGGCTATACCTCTTTAGTTTAGATTAGTTTAGTATTATTCTTAGTCTCTTAAGTTCAAAGACGAAATGTCGGCTTTATTGTACACTCCAAGACGGAGTTTTGTTAAACTTTAGTTGGAATAATAAAGGGCTAGTTTACTCTTCTATCTTGTTGTTTCCTGTCATACGGACTCAAGCGATTATTCGCTTATCAGTTCTTAAGATTCTTCACTTCTAACAGCAACCTACTAGATTACAAAGTGAGGAACTCTACAGCCTATTGAGAAAAAAGTCTGAGAAAGGAATGAAGAAAGGAATAAGAAATCCTTTGACGAAAGTAATTTAAGAAATCTACTTTAATATAAACAAAAAACAAAACGCACATGAAGAATTATACTTCTAAAGAAAAATTTAACACTTCCTCTTTTATTATGTGACATGTTAAGTAACAGTTTAACAATTCGCTATAATATGACTCATAATAACCAAAATGGAAAATTTATCAAGGAAAGTAAAGAATCATTATAAAAGAGTAAATTAATGTGAAACAATATAGATAAAACATTATAAGCGTAGCACCATCAGTGGGGAACATTACAAAAGAATGCTTAACCAAGTTTTTAGTTGAATAAAAATAACATTATTTTTTTTTCTTGCTCATAAATATGCAGCGAAACAAAGTAAAATAATTTTAAAATTATTTTTACCTGTGTTTCTTAATAATAGTTTGGAAAAAGTATTGTTTTATACCATTAGCGTTATAAATAAAATCATTATATACAATATGTCAATTGCAAAATATCGAATTCCATATCACAATCGTCTGCATTAAAAGTGAAATTTAATGATAATGATGAAACTTCAGATTGCAAACTTTTGTAAATTTCTTTTCTTTTTGTCAATTTTTTCACCAATTTATTTTAGAAAAATAAATGCCGGAAAATTAAAATTCTTCTTTTGAATTTTTTTTTTCTTCTTTTGAGTTTTAATTTTATTTCCGGTCAAAGTTTAGTCTTATCAGTTGGCAACAGGAAGAATTATTTCTGTTTACTTAATGCTTAAAGTACTGGCATTTCTAACGTGTTAGCCTGGAAGATTGCACAATGAAAGTTTTTCCCTCGCCCCTAATTATTTTGAAAACTGCTTTTATTATCCAAGCACAAAATATAATCTTCCTTACAGACTTAAACATAGATTATAAAAAGTTTTTAGACGTGGCTAACTCCTACAGCTCCTACAGCTTTGTGTAAAAGAACGAATGGAAACAACGTTAGTATATTTTCCATCATAAGGGAGTTGGCTATACCTCATTCCAAGACCTTAAGAGAAGTGTTCGTACAGGCTCAAAACAAGAAGGTTTAGAATATTGAAGAGACTCGCAAACAACTGATTCACTTCATTGCGGTAATACGGTAACTTGGGTAGAGGAGAAATTGAAGCAGCATACTCACTCTGACTCTGGCTTCTGTGAGGTTGGTCCACATGGCAATCTCCTCCCTGGTGGACATGTCCGGATACCTGTTCCTAGCGAATGTAGCTTCGAGTTCTTGAAGCTGCTGGCTCGTGAAATGGGTCCTTTGACGCCGCTGACGCTTCTTCTTTTTCGGATCGTCGTCAGCGGAGTTGTCCGCAGGGGAATCGGCGGTCGTCCCGCTTTGGCTCGGCTTCTCGTGGAGTGAGCCGCCGTCTGCAATAAACAAAATATAAGATACTTTTAGTATAAGCATGCATTAACTGAAAGACTTAATAATTTATCTTGTGAAAATGAATTCTTAGAGTCACAGAGATTCAGAATTGCATCCAACTTTTAATTTTGACAGTACAGGACATAAATGTTCCTAAATTTGTAGAATACTGAATTGTGATGATTCTGAATCCTTTACAAAGTGTGAAAATATTGATAAAAATTATGAAGGCATAAATAATATTTTTTTTCTTTCAAATTCTAAAACATTTTAAAAATTAATGCTCATAAAACATTTCATTTTATCTTTATTTAGTTTATTTTCCATGTAATTTTTTTAAAAAAAATAGCGTTATAATTCATCATCAGACATGTTCTGGATGTAAAATACACATTATTTGCTAGATGCATGAATAAAATACGTTTTATAGCACATTTGTAAAAACCCTAAAAACAAAAGAAATCTACGGTATATTTTATTACTTTTACTAGATGGGGTACCCGGCTTCGTGCGGGGAATTGATATGAGATTGTGGTAGCTGAAATAAAAGGATAAACTTTAAAATATGAGAGGTAATTTTTTGTTACTGAAACCATATTCTAACTATTTACAATACTTGTTTATAAACAAGATTTTTCCTTTTGTTATCCGGGGCATTTTACATGTACAAATTTATCGAGTTTTCTACTCTAGAGCAAGCTACATATAGCTGACCATGAGTAAAGCAGGAGTCTTTCAGGTTGATGCTGCAGTGTTTTAAAGTTTATCATTGATCTTTGTTAGTTGTAAGCTACAGGCTAATTTGATTGAAAATTGCAGCCTTTAAACTGGAATGGCATTTCAGTAGACATCTATAGTATTCTGGGGATAAATACTGTCTCTTTTGTCTTTCCAGTCATAAGTTCGACTTCCGTGATGTTATTCGATAACTGTTTGACGACCATCCTTGTTCCATTGATATCGTAGGTGATGTTATTTTTAGTTGCCAAATTGAAATAGCCACTCCAGATTGGTATAGTTGGGAACAATGTTTGGATAAATTTGGTCGATGAGTTTATTTTCAGTAGTGGCTATGTTGCAGAAATCACTGTTGATTTCAAGGAGGTCCATCATCTGGTCAGTAGGATATGTGCCTTCGCCAGTCTGTAAAAGTTTTTGAGCAAAATGTGCTGTTGTTTCAACCTTCGATATTTCAACTCTCATACTTTTTGTTAGACGCAGTATTTGTATGTGTGGCCAGAGATGTGATTTTTTAAGCATGCATTGATTTCATCTGCTGGTGTTGACTTGGGAATAACTGGAAGTATTTGTTTGAGAGTATGAGTAGAGCTCTTCCCATCACTTCAGAGTTTCCTCGCAAGTCTTGCAATGTTCTGTTCATGACTTGGAGTGATTTTTCATGTGCCAGTGTGCATTCGTCTCAGAAGATAATTTTAGTTTGTTTTAGGGGTTCACCCCCTCCAGATACTCTTGAAATTTTACAGATCGGGAATCGTTCTTTTCTTCTGCTATATTCAACGGTAGTTGTAGGGCGAAATGGGCAGTTCGTCCTCCTTCCGAAAGAAGTCATTTGGAAGCAGGCGTTGTACGCTTTTATATTTTGAAGAAAGTATTTTGATTCTGAAGTTTTCCTGGTAATACAATGTAGAAATTCCTGCGGAGGTGCTTCCACTGGTGGTAATCGAATTTTTCCATTCGTGCAACAGATCCTTGGTGTTTCTCTACTGAGTTTATTTCGCGTTGCAAAATTTATGTTGCCATTTTTCGGATTGCGACGTGTTTGCATTTGTTATATATTTCCGTCAGGTCGTAGTGGAATGATTCATTTGCTAGGAAATACTGTTTACTTGACCTCGTTCGCTCTCCTCGTAGGGAGATATTTTCATGGGTGGCTCGCGCTCGCAGTCTTTTATTATAAGACTATGTCGCAATTTCGGATTCTTCAATTCGTTGTTCTTCGGTTTCTCTACTTCTCATAGTGCTGCTTCGCGCTCTTCGACTATTTCATTTCTTCGCTGTTTTTTTTTGTTTGCTTGTTTGGTTTGTTTGTTTTGTTGTTATTGTTTTGTTTTGTTTTCGCCGTTTTACTCCAGAACTGGCAAAATCGCTTTCTCTTTTACGTTTGCGCATTCTATAAAATATAAATCAAAACAACTTTTTATTAAGAAATACACTATGTACACTTTATTTTCGATTTATATTCAGTCACTGTATCACTTTGATTACTCACACTTCACTGTTTGCTTTTATTCACTCACTGAACTTCGCGGATAAGAAACTGACGATCGAACCCACGACGGATCTTGGTTTATATGACCCCTACCAATGGGTAGACCCACCTACACGAAAAAGCCTTCGTATGGTCCACAATGCTCCAGATCATTCCACAACATTCGAGAGTGTTCTGGAATGTTCCCCAGTGATCTGGGATGTTCCCGAAAGTTCCAGAGTTTCCCAGAATGTTTCGGGATGTTCTGAAATGTGTTGAATGCTCTCGAATGTTCTGGTCTGTTCTAGAAATTTCTAGAGGACGAAAATTTCAGCCCTTATATCTTCAAAAATAGCTCTTCAGGTAAAAACGGGTATCTGGATGGATGGGGCTTAGAGGCTACCACACCATATAACTCTCTTGATCGTACTGGGATTCCTTTCTGAGTTTTAGCGGCACGCACATTGTACACTTTTATAATATATATTGATTATAAGAAAAATTGTAAATTATGTATATTTCTCGGATTATTTCAGGCATTCACATGTAATTCAATTAAATAAAAGGTAATAATTAGTTTATTCATAAAAAATTTACTTTAACTGTTTCTCTGGATTTAAATTGAATTTTTTATGCTAAAAGGAAATCTCTGATCTGATTGAAAGTTAATTTATGAGTAAAAGCACAGCTTTCGGAGTATTCAAAATAATTCTTATATTAAGTAGAAACATAAGAAACTGACAAAATTTTTACATTATTAGGAATTATTACCTCAAATAACTAGTTCTAATTATAATAATCGAAATTAGATTCTTTTGATTTGGAATTAAAGTTATCGCTCTGGCGGTGGCTATTCCTGTATTGTTTTTGACCGACAGTATCCCACGAAACATGTTATGGAAAGCGCTTCTACCTATCTGCAAGAGATATGAAAAGTCCATTTAAGACTGCAGTTTTAGCGAAGTAAACGATCACAATGTTGTAGCCTTTATATAGAATTTAAATCAACATTGCATATAATTGTCCCGAGTTTTGTCATGAAGAATATTTGGTTTTTGAATTACCACATACATTTTAGATTAATTCTTAAAGTAATAGGCTTATCGTAACTCTCGAGCTTAAAACTATTACAAGTGCTAAATTGAAATATGATTACAAAAATGAGACTTCATTTCTTTTATTAGCCCAAAAGGGCTATTGGTTGCGAAATGGAATTTACTATAAATGCGTCGTTTCACTTTCCATTCGAATATGATACCATTCGGGAAAATGTAAGATCTTTATGGGCAAAATATAATATCTTTAAAAACAAGGCTATTTTAAAACAACAGACGAGTTCTTAAGAACATTCGCTCCTTACTTTTGAATCAGATTGATTCATATAATAAAAATGCATTAAATTTATTATCTAATTAAAAATATTTAATATTTTCATAGAATGATGTTATATATTTTATTACTTATTTCATGTTTTATAAAAGTTTAATGAATATTGATTAACAAAGTCAATGATTTGAAAGAGAGCAATGGCAACACTCTATGGAATAAAACATTTTTATCTCTCAGAACGCGACTGTCTGTCAAAAATTCTAACGATATGCTATTTTTGAATATTTTACGATTTTGCTGTTGAACTGAATTTTCTATAAGTTCGAAGAAGGTGATATTTAATAAATAAAGTTAACACGCAAAAAGTTCATAACGAAAAGTAAAAAAAAAAAAAAAGTTTGCAAGCCTTTTTATTTAGAAAACTGAACGTTTAAGTGGGAAAAGACATTGCTGCTTTTAAAATTTTTACTATGTTTCTGTTAAATTGTGATGCTTAATAATAAAGCTAAAAAGACACAAAGAAATAAGTTAGAAGGGGCAGCAGACTGGTAACTGCGAGCTCAGAGAGAGTAGAAAAAAGAAGAAAAAAAAAAAAAAAACCTTAGCAACCTTTTTTTTGGGCGATCGCTAAAATCTGAAAGATTTCAGATTTTTTTAATAATTTTTTTAACATTTTTAATAACAGATTCTTCTTTGAGGCCTTAGACTCTATTTTCTTGCTTTGCAAAATGCATTAAAAAATAATTGAAAAAAGTTATGTATAAAAATGAATCTTTCCAATTTCTGATAAAAGTTTAATATACAGTGGATATATATGCTGCAATTAATGATCAAAACGAAGCTGAAATATTACTTGAAAAAAGATCACTCGTTGTTTCATTACTTTAAATGTTTGCGTCGTGCGATACATACTTTAGATTTTAGGTGTACTTGATATATAAATGAACAAAATTTCAACTAAATGCCCATAAATTTCATTTCTTCTCCAATTTTTTTTTTAGGAATGTTGGACTAAAAGTTCTTTAATTGATTCTAATAGCTTTTTTCATATCTCGCTACTATATTAACAGTTAAAAATATAAAATCAATGATGCAATACATTTTAAGTTTAAAATCTTTTAATACAGTAATTTTGAAAGCATACATTAGTATAAAGAATGTTTAGATGTACATGGATAAGCTACATTTTTCAATGATATCTTTCAAAACATACTGTTATTTTGAATGATAACAGTAATGATAACAGATCGAAAGCTTCTTATGATGAGAAAAAATCATGCAGAACGATGAATTGTTTGCAAAGCTTATAAAAATGAAATTATTTTTCTACTTAAAGATTATTTTGTAAGTCTTCTAAAAATATTCAAGGACGCGTAATAAGATAATTCTTTATAAAATGAGCCAACAAAGCTTTCTTAAGGAATGAGTTGAGGAACAGAATGAAATTCAAATAGTTTTGTGCTT